TCCTGTGTATCTGGGAATGGAATTACATTCTTGTTCTGGTGAAAAGCTATCCTCTGTAAACACTGGTACAAAATAACAACACATCCACACACTTACTCCTGCATTGACTTGATGATGCGAAGCCATTCTCTTTATGATCCTATTGCTACAGAAGAAAGGTTGGGGAACGCTTTGCATATTTTAGTGTAATTTGGGGAACTGGTTTCTATGGGACTGTCAATCTATAATTTATCGTAGACATTTTGGTTTAAAAGTAAAGTGTGAAAATGCAACAATGTATGAAATAGCATATGATAACAAATAATCTATATTGTCTCCTTTTCAATTTGTCTCTATTTTCCTCTTTTGTTTTTACAATTGATTTATTATTTTTTAAGCACTCAGGTAGAAAACAAAATTTTAAATAGCCCGTATGAAATAGGTGCTCAAGAAACAAATCAGAGAAGCGTTTTGTTAAGAATATATCTATATTAAAAGTATATTAAAGCTAAAAGGCATAGCCCCTACTCTGCTGTAAAATTCTCTAGGGAAATGCAAATGCTCGTTCTAGGAGAGAAACTGCTAGCAGGCAGACTCAGTATCATTCATTCACTCCAATGTTTATCCAATGTATCAACATTCAACCAATGTTTATCGAGCCCCCACTCTGTGCCACACACTCTTTTAGGCACTAAAGAAACGCCAGTGGACAAATCACCAGGAATCCTGGCTCAAGGAAGTGTGAGCGTAGGGGAGGTGAAAGGGAAAGGACACTACAAACAAATGGAATAAATATCTATGACCCTGAGCCACAGCCACTGCCATTGAGTCATTCGTGATGCACAGTAACCAGCATCTGGGGTTTCTGAGACGGAACACCTTTACAAGCACAGCTTCATCTTTCTCCCACTGAATGACTGGCAAGCTTGAGCCAAGGACCAGACCATTAGCAGTTCAACAAGTAGCTCACAGCTCCACCAGGGCTCCTGAAAGGTGATAAGTGCCATGGACATGCTGAGTGGTAGCAATGCAGTTGTTTTCAAATGTTTTACAGTTAGATTTACTGAGCTATAGTGAACACATCCTACGATCCTATAATTCAGTCATATGAAGAAGGGCTGTGCAATCAACACCACAGTCAACTTTGGAGCGTTTTCTTCCTTCTTGTTCCCACTGGTGTTGACCTCCCATTTCCCCCACCCTCCCCTCTCAGGCTCCGGGTAATTCTTATTTCAGTTACTGTTTTCATAAATCTTGGCTTCTTTATACAGAAAAACATAGAAAACAAGGACAAAGAACAGGAAGATAGAAAGGAAAAAGGACCCAGCGACAATGATCATTTAAGAGCGAAAGACCTCAATTTAAGGAAATGAAACAATATTAAACTTTTATTATAAATTGAAAGTGGGTCCAGAGAGAGATCTTTTGGCAAGGTGTTGTATTCCAGTCTAAGTACAGTTGCTAAGAACCTCTCTGTTTAATGTTCTTTGTCTGAGAGTAGGGCTGTTCACATTTCTAGTCTGGGGACTCAATCCACATAGGGACCATGCAAATGGATTTTGGGATTCCTCTATCATCCACAGCATTCTGAAAATAAGATGGTTAGAATTTAGGCACTGTTATTGATCCCTCCTTCAGGTTTGGATAGCATTGCGGTTTTAAATACTGTTCTCTGACCAAATGACACCTGAGCAAACACTTTGTAGGAAAGAGAGGAGTAGACCATAAGATCTTACTTGGAAGAACTTTGTTGATACCTATTACAACAAAGGATTTGATATAGAGAGAGATAGAGATAGATATTCATTTGATTTGATTTATTGTGTTTTGTTTTAGATACATGAGTTAGGCAGGGTTCTGTAGAGAAACAAAACCAGGATACTTATGAATATATATATATAGGTTTATAGGTTTATATGGTGAGAAGGAATATAAAAGCTAATTAGTCCACATAGCAGTATGGAGGGTTCAGTTCAACTCACTTTTGTGGAACAGTTAATATACTGGAAGTCCTTTGACTCACGTGGGGTGCTGCATCCAAGTCAAAGAAGCAGACAGCAGAGTCTTCCCTCAGGCAAGGAAGGCAGCAAATAGCATGGTGGGTCAGCACAGTCAGTAGCTTGGCAGCTTATTGAAGCAGGCCTGGATGAGATACCTAACTCAAGCAATGCAAGGTGACAGGATCTACCAGCCTCAAGCTCAAGAGAAGTACGCACCTACCAGCACCATGGCAAAGCAGGTCTTGAAGGCACTTCAAGCTTAGCAAAATGATCCACGATCCATGGCTGTCTTGGCCCACAGGTGGTGTAGCACATAGGTAGAGACAAAGAAGTAGCTAAAGCAGCAGCACGCTGGCCCGATCACCAGAGAGCAAGAGAGACAGGGGCAGGCCTTTCAGAGCCATTTATCTCTTTGACCTCCAATCAAACTACTACTTGATTAACCCTACATGTTCCTATTGGCCAGGTTGGCACAATAAACCTAACACAATACAATATAAAGATATATTTATATAAACATTGATATATATTTTATACATTTATGTATTTATTATGTATTCGATATATTTTAATAAATGTATATATACACATATATTCTATTTATCAATGTAAATATAGCATATAATATATATTTCTATAAATATATACATATATAAACATATGTATATAAAATAAAACAAATTCAATCAAATCAAATGAACAGTTGAACAAATTGGGTAAAGGGAGCACCCGGGTGCTAACAAAATTAGACCCCAATCTGGACTTGCTTTTGAACAAAGACTAGATCAAATGAATGGAATAAATGATGAAGTAAGCAAGCTCAACAGAGAATTTCAAAGGGTGGCTTGAGAAGACAAAGTAAATAATATAGTGAAATGTGCAAACATTTAGAGGTAGAAAACCAAAAGTGGAGAGCACACTTGCCATTTCTCAAGCTAAAAGGACTGAAGACAAAAAAAATTCAAGCTTTGAGTTGCATTGATGAAGGATTCCATGGGCAAAACATTGATTGACTCAAGAAGCATCAAAAGAAGATGGAGGAAGTAGGCAGAGTCATTGTACCAAAAATAATTGGCCCACATTTACTCATTTTAGCAAGTAGATTATGATCAACAGCCAATGGAACTGAAAGAAGAAGTCCAGACTACACTGAAGACATTGGCTAAAAACAATGCTCCACAAATTGATGGAATACCAACTGAGATGTTTCAGCAAAGAAATGCAGCACTGGACATCTTAATTCTTTGTATTAATAAATTTGGAAGACAGCCACTCGACCAACTGGATTAAGTAGATTGTGCCCATTTCACAGAAAAATGTTTCAGTGGAATGTGGAAATTATCTAACAATGTATTAATATACTCATTTTTTTTCTTAAAATAACACAGAACTGTTGCAATAGTACATGAACAGGGAGCTTGCAGAAATTCAAGCTGGATTTAGACGAGGAAGTGGAAAGTGGATATTACTGTGAAATCAAATAGATCTTGACTGTAAGCTGAGAATACAAGAAATATGTTACCCATGGTGTATTGAGAGGACTCCTATGGTACTGTCAGGTAAGTGTTGAACTTGTGGTTAGCAGCAAGGTCAGGGGTTCAAACCTGCCAGCTTCTCCCTGGGAGAAAGATGAGACTGTGTGCTTATAAAGACTTATAGCCTCAGAAACCCTCTGCAAGGTCGCCATGAGTCAAGATGGACTCAATGGCAGTGGGTTTGGGGTGCTTTGTTGAAATGTTTCAGACATACTTAACAAATATTAAACTTACTATCTTAACACACCACTATCCATGAGTTTGCCTAGATTACCCCCCAGACAATATGCACTTCCCGCTCTGATATAATCTGAATGTACAAATACACATTTTAAATGGCCTTCTGAAAGCCTCTATTTTCATTCCTTCCCAATTTTTCTTCAAAGTTGGGCTAATTATCTTCCCCACCCTCCATGCTCAACTTTGCTTTTCCAGTAGTTCACAACTTGGCTATTGACACCACTATCCATCACTCATCAGAGACAGAATCCTGATAAGGTTAACTCCTAAATATCCCTTGAATTCTGTCCCACTCTTATTTCCATCCTCCTTGCTGTAGCTGGAGCCTCAAAATCTCTCGTCAATCATTGCAATAGCCTATTTTCTCTTGGTTTTGTCCCAGACTAACTGTCCAAATCCATCTTACCTACTGCTGCGCTCATGATCTTCCTTAAGATGCAAATCTGAACATGGCACTTGGGTCTCCTACTCCTTTCAGGTAATGCGTAAGCTTCATAACTGGGCATGTACAGGCCATCCATGATTGACCTTAGGAGTTTAACTTGACCTACCGACTTCAATGTAAGCTCCAGGAGGGCCACAGCATGCCAGGCTTGTCTACTTTGATTCTGTTCCAAGTATAAAGTACAGAGGCTGATACCTAATAGGTAATTGCTAAATGACTACATCATTGCCTCACCTTCATACTTCTGATTCTTGGACCCTTTTGCCAGGTCCATCGGAACGTTTTTGCAGTTACCCAAATGCACCATCTGCTCATACCTCTAGGCCTGTGTTTATGCTCACTTATTCACGCATTCATTTATTCATCTTGGAATTTTCACAATCCAACACTGCGACAGGTACTGAATGAGTAAATGACAACAACCTAGGCTAGAGGAACGGCTCAATATAAAAAACTGCAATGCAAGAACATTCTAACTTTCCCCAGGTAGTATGAGTATGGATAAGCAAATATAAGGAGACAAATAGATGCTTTTCTGTTCTTTTTTGTGCTGAGTCTGGCAACAACACTTAAATAAGGCTTTGGAACCAAACCAAACCAAAACAAATCAACTTCCGGTAGAGAACCAAAAAGTAATTGAGATTTTTCCACGTGCAAAATCTCAAGCGCAGCGAGCGGGCACACGCTCCGAGGACAGGCTCAGGGTGGTTCCCTTAAGGCCCGCCCCTAAAGGAGGCGGGGCGTGTAGGGATGGGGCGAGGCTTTGCCAGGTAAGGCCCCGCCCCTTCCGGGCGGTGTGTGAGTGGCCCGCGCGCTAGCGCGCCGGGCTGTTTCCTAGGAGATGAAACACACAAGCCGCGGGAGCTTCATAAGGGAGCTAACGAGGTAAGCGGCCGGCGCGGGCCGGTGATCCCGAGCGGGC